CCACCGGCAAAAGTTAAATGGGTCCTCCGTCGTCCTGGAGGGAATATGTGGAATCCCGTCATTGACGATTCTAAGGTCCCGGATTCTGTAAAGCAGAGCTGGTCCGAGAGTTTCAAATCATCCCTCTCTGGTGGAAATATCAGTGCACCAATTCTATAAGTTACAACTGTTCTGCTAAGTGGAACTTCTGTATCATTTTGTTTGTTTATTTACTTCAGATGCCAGTCCCCTAAGTTTTGAGGGATCCTTTTTTCTTGGAGGTTTATCAATAGCGATCATCTCGCAAGTCTTTTGACGTAAACCTTGTAGTGCCGATGAGCATAGGCCTCAGAAATCTCTCAGTGAAGAGCAAACCAAGATTTGGAGGCCCAAACACGACCCAACAATCAAACAAGTAGTAGCTAAATGATAATGTAAACACGAACATAAAATTTTAGAGTACGGTTGAATTTAACGATTGAATGTGTGCTAAAAAATCCATGTGAATTTAACAGGAAGATCTAAGCTACTTAAAATGTATCATGTAGGAGACAATGATTCGTAATACGGTTGAATGTAATCAGGTTACAATGTGAAGGTCAAACTAATGAGTGCGGCTCAAATTCACATCAAAGTTTCGTCAAGTGGCTATATTCTTTTATGCAGATTGCTTAAAGGGAGGGATCCCCATTTTTTTCAAAAAAAATAGGGACAAGCTCCCTACCGTTGGATTTAACTTTAATGAAATTGTACACAATCTTAACCACACAATTTCATTAGAGTTAAATCTAACGGTGGGGAGCTTGTCCCTATTTTTAAAAAAAAATGGGGATCCCTCCCCTTAAGCAATCTGTTCTTTTACATACCAACGATAATGTTACTATAAGCTATATTGAGGCTTTGAATCAGAATGCAATGAGTTCAAAAGGAAGACTCTATCTACTAAGAGCATGTCCACCAGAGCCAACATTGCCCAGCACCCAGTCCAAATAGCAAGCTGAGGGTCAGTCCATTTACTCCAGCCTATAAAGTTGCCTGGCACCCAGCCCAAGCCAGGCAACAGACCAACCCATTTTTGACAAACCCAAGAGTCGGCCTATTTGGCTGGCGCGTGCATGGCACTCGCACGTGGCCTCGAGTAAGGGACAAGGGGGCAGGCGCTGTCAGCCCACTTGTGCTTAAGATGCAGTCAGCGACGTGGCATGCTCAGAGCCATTGGATTTCCAATGACTAGTTTTTCTAGACTGTTGGATTTCCAACGGTAAAAAAAAAATTTAATTTTACTTTTAAACTGGACCGTACGATCATAGATCAACGATCCACGTTTCCCCCCCACAAAAAAAGGGCCCAACAGTCATATTTATAACCCTTGGCCACGTGGCAGATCCTTGGCTCCTTGGCTCTTGGATTTGAATATTTTTCAAATCCAACGGTTCAGATTAATTAACTACATTAAAATTAATTAAAAATTATAAAAAATACATAAACTTTTTTTTTTTAAATACAGTAAAATTTTAAAAAAGTTACTATTTTTTTTCTATAAATACCTAACCCTCATCTTCCACCTTACACCACATTTCAATATTTTCTACACTTTCTATACTACATTTCAATATTTTCTACATTTTAAGAGAAAAAAATGTCTTCGTGGAAGCTCATTGAAGATGTTACGTTGTGTGAATGTTGGGTTCACACTACTCATGACCCGATTACGGGTAATGAGATGGATAAGCGAGAAATGTAGAGTAAAATTACAAAAGTGTTTTGCGGTGTACATGGAAAAGACGCCAGAACTAGTCAAGGTCTTCAAGGTCGTTGGAAAAAACTCAATGCATCCTTTACTTGTTGGAAAAACGCCATCTCTCATGCTTCCGGTAACCTGCGTAGTGGGACAAGTTTAGCGGATCAGGTGACAATATTTTTATTTATTTATATGCATTCCACCCACATCAATATTTTAATTTATTTAATTTCGTATGTAATTTTTATATGCATTCCACCCGCTTCAAAATTTTAATTTATTTAATTTCTTATGTGATTTTTATTTAATTTCTTATGTCATTTTTATGTAATTTATATGCATTCCACCCGCATCAATATTTTAATTTATTTATTTATGTTACAATCGCATTTTTTAACACTATCTTATCCCATATTTTTATAGACAGTACAAGCTCAAGCATTCTACAATTCAAAGAACCAAAACAAATCATTCAACAAATGGGAATGTTGGGAAATTGTCAAAGATTGCCCTAAATACAAAATTTTGGCAACCGGTCCAGAAGTTATCATGCATGACATGGGTCTACATAGTTCACCAGAACCAGACACAGCCGAACAAGAAGCCGACACATTTCAAGACACGGAAGGGACACTTGAACAAGTGCCTGAGGCCCAATCGACTTGTCAGTCCCTCAGGCCTCAAGGTAAAAATGCATCAAAGAAAAAAGGCAGTTCTTCCAAAATTGACTACACTAAAAAAGGTAGTTCTTACAAAAATGACTACACTAAAAATGTAGCTTCATATGCAAGCATTCGCAAGACAGCCGTAATTTTTTGCTCGGGAAGAAGACCTAGAACATAAAAAGCATCATCTTTTTGCACAAAGTATGGATGATGGTTGCAAATAACACTCATGATTTTGTCGAACAAATTTCGTTGCATTCTAAAACGACGTCTAAAAACATGATCAGGGAATATGCTATTGTGAATAAAATAATCTTCCAAGAGATCTTTACCTCGTCTTTCCCTTTTTCTATCGAGGTTTGCAACACGTCTAAGTTTGGCTATTTGACCCACGGCTTCCATGACACGGCGGGAATGTGAGGCCCTCTGCCTTCTATGGTGATCATCCTCATCCTCTTCCATGAAGAAAGCCTCATCTCCACCTCCACCTCCACCTTCCTCGAGATTGGCCAATTATGCCTGTTGTGCCAACAACTTTTTCTGTTGCTCCTGCAACTGTTTATACACTCTCCTTGAAGAAGACATTGTAATAAGAACTTAAGATTTGAAAACGATGAACAAGGATTCTGAGCTAAAAAGAAGGATTGAGCTTGGTGTGAGGATGGATGTAAGGATGTAGGGTTTATATGGACAAAAAAAGAAAGGATGAGGTTCTGGACAATGCCACGTGGCACTACGTGTTTGGTTGAAAATCTTATCGAAATATTGGCTAAATTATTAGAAACCGGAAGTGACACGTGGTGCGTCAGGATTGGTTGAAAATCTTATCGGAAATCTATCCACAAAATAGTACGTTCGGATAATGACACGTGGCATGTGATTGTTTGAAAATCTTATCGAAATCTTGGCTAAATTATTGTAAAACGGAAGTGACACGTGGCGCATTAGGATTGATTGAAAATCTTAGCAGAAATCTATTCACAAAATAGTACGTTCGGATAATAACACGTGGCGTGACGAGATTGGTTAAAAATCCTATCCGAAATTAAAACTATTTTATTTTTTTATTCTTTTAGAAAAAATTTAAAAATATTTTAAATGGGCTGGGTGTCAGCGCATTTTTTTAGGGGTGGAGATGCATTAGCCTATTACTGTTCATTGAAGTTTATTACTGTTCACTGGAGTGAATAAATGGGCTAGGCACAAAGTCCCTAGGGGTTGACTTGCTCTAAAAGCAGTTTCACCGAGGAACTGATAAGCCGGCACCTAGGTTTTTCACTCCAGCCCAGTAGATAGGCTGGCACCCAGCCCAAGCTGGTCTCCAGGCCAGCCCAAAATCGATTGAGCAATCGGACAGCTTGATTGACGTCATCTCACGCTTACACCCTCAACCTCTTCCTCTGCACCAACCTTATCGCCCACTACGCCTCTTTAGGCTCCCCCTCTCACGCTTACACCCTCTTCTTCGCCATCTCCTCTGCCTCTGACGTCTTCCTCTGGAATGTCATGATCAGAGGCTTCGTTGACAATGGCCTGTATAACAAAGCCATTGCTTTGTACAGTAAAATATGGGACGTGGGTGTTAGACCCGATCATTTTACTTTCCCTTTTGTGATTAAGGCTTGTGGGTTTGCTCGTGATTGGAGGTTCATGGAGATGTGATTGAATGTGGGTATGCATTAGATGTGTTTGTAGGTAATTCACTTATTGGATTGTATGGGAAATTTGGGCAGGTTGAAACTGCACGGAAGAGGTGGAAATTTGGGCAAGTAATTCACCTAAAGCGCACCCATCCCTACCCCTGAACCAATGCATACCACTGCAACACCTCCCAGACTGCTAATACCCATCACCAACCCACCCCAAAAATTCTACCCAACAGACACAGTTCCAAATCCAAATGGGGGGAGAGAGAGAGAGAGATGCAGAGGGAGGTTGACGCGTCAGGAGTGGCAAGAGTTGGCTTTTGGGGATGATCGGAGAAACAAATTGAGGAGGATGCAGAGGGAGAGTATAGAGGGTTCCAGTGAAACCGTGGAGGTTCCAGACTTACCTTCTTTCTTTTTTTTAAATAAAATTGACTAGGCAATTTTTTGTTAGGGGTGGAGATGCATTTAGTCTATTACTGTTTATTTGAGTCTATCACTGTTCACTAAGTGGATAAATACGCTAGGTGTTGGCGTATTTTTTTAGGGGTGGAACTGTTCTAATGCAATTCAACAATTACAAGTTAAGTGACTTATTTGAGGGAACTAGGGAAACGTCACCTCAAGGTTGGAAGGATCCCAAATTTAAAAGTTTAGCTATTGAGTTTAATGCAAGAAAACTTTTACCGGTGGTATGCACGGGGTGTTTTTTTTCCGTCTCTCATCAATCAATGAGACGAAGAAAGTACATACGCCATAACCAAGCTTTTGTTGAATATCATCTAATTAACAAAAGGAACTGATGAACGCACATCATTTTTAACCTTTCGTATATTTATATTTAATTTTACTCGTTATTTTAATAATCCATTCAATCCGAACATAGTAAAAAAAATGACATGTGAGAAACTAAAAAGGCGTATGAAAATGAGAATCGCCTCCCTAATTAAATAAATCAATCAAGTATAATCATTTGCCAATAAAATAGGAAAATTGTCCAAATAATTCTTATGAAACTGGAATCATACTGCATTGCACACTTTGTAGACCCGATCCCACATTTCTCGTTTCTTGGGTTATGCTGGTCCAAGGCAGAGTAAGCTTTTCTACCAGACCCTCAAACAACAAGCTCATTGCGAATCTGCTAAAGTGACTGCTCAGTGACAATGATGAAGGGGGAATCGTCACAGTCGGAGCCGATTCCGCTGCTAACAATAAGGCCAGGGGAAGAAGGAGAAGAACCCAGAAGCAGTGGCAGAAAAAGGCAACTGCAATTGCAATTGGTCACCCCCTCACGGTCATTCAAACTTCCCGAGGGTTGGCTGGTCGAGGAAAAGCCCCGTCCCCCTAGCTCTTCCCGCCCGGGCCATACCCATATCGACAAGGTTCGATCTTTCTCTCCCTTCACTCTCTATTTCTCTCTCTAAACTGGTTCGAATTGCAAATGAATGTACAATGTATATCCTTTGCATCCATGGATCGTGGCTGGATGGATGTATGAATGTATGAATGTATGAATTTTTGTGGTTTTTTTGTAATTTGGGGTTTTTGCAGGGTTTTGACTGGCATTAAAATTCATATGCTTTCCAGCATTTATGAGATTCTGGGATGTTTTTAGTTATGGGTTTTTGGGCAATTTGCATTGCTGAGTGAAAATTTGGAAAAATTAGGGAATTGATCTTTGTCAAACTTCTATATTTTTGTACAAAATCTGGGTTTTGGTAAAAACCCAGTAATTGTTTCCCCCCCTTCTTCTGTTGTACATGTTTACTATTTCACCGCTGCCTGCTGGCGGTTGACATTTCAATTGGTACATTTTGATGATCTTATAGGAATACGCCGACAATTTGTTATGAATCGAATTTTGAATTATGAAAGTCTAACGTTCTTGCAAAGAAGCTGCCAATCTCGTCCAGAAAGCATAATGCTTGAGCGATAATAATGGTTTATGCTACACCTCCCACATTGGGTTTTTAGGCCAGCCAGAACAATGTCGTCGTCGCCATTTTGCACTTCTATGATGGATTCTATAAGTTTTTTTTAAAATTAAATTTTATGTTACAGTTATTATGATAATGGAGAATGTCCGTGCAGTTTTAGAATTTCAGTTCTCCAATAAATGAATTGTATAAATCTGCTCCTACCACTCTACTTAACTGTACTAAGTCGTTTGGTGCGGCCAGGTCTCAGACCTTTTATTTAGTTTTGCAGTATTACTATGAGCCTGGCACGGGACTGAAGTTTCGTTCACTGGCAGCTGTTCAGAGATACCTAACAGAAGGGCAAATCGAACAACATACCAGAAGATCAAAACCAGGCAATGAGTGTACTGTGAGTTCCAGGATTTACAGTTATTGATAATATTTAAACTTTCTCATCCCATTCTAAGAGAGTGGGAAGAGAAATTTAGAAACAAAGGAAACATATGTTATGCTTAGTTCTTTACCCACTTAAATCCTCTGCACTAATTATACAAAATCTCTATACCTTTGGATTCTCATCACATGGCTTAGTTGAGGGTCCATAATTGTCAAAGTGATTTGTTAAAATTTTCTTTGTTCGGTTGCTATTCATTATTATTCCAGAACTTATGCAGTTGTTCTTATATATTTGAAGATGTAATAAAATTACAGTCTAGTGGAACCGTTTGAAAAAGATAACCATGATGAAGGAGTTAAAGTAAATGAATGTTACAAGTATCTCTGGTCACTGTTACAGCAGTCCGAATTGAAGGAGAAAAGATTGTGATGCCTAAAATATAAGGGCAAAATCCTTATTGATAGTGTCAATCTGCAGGTGCTGATTACACCACGCACCAGGAGGACCAGTTCATCCTTTGTACTACCTGATGGTTGGGAAGTTGAGGAGAAGCCACGGAGCAATATTAATTATTCTGGTTATGTAGACAGGGTACTTGTTCTTTTTCATTAAAGTTTTGATGGTTTTTTCTCTTCTATGTAGTAGAAACTAGAAAGGGTTTATCCAGCCTGTACATCGGTTGAAATTGCAGGGATGCGCGTTTCTGGGTCATTTGTGCATATGCACTTTGCATATTTACATGTATATATGTTATGTTTATATTTCAAAGCTGATCGCTCTTTTGGGTCACCAACTTCACGGAAACATGTGCATTCTGCAATATAGCTACTTACATTAACTACACGTGACGGTACATGTTAGGTTTGGGACACCGCCATTTTGGTGTCCCCGTTTCATTCAAGGCTCTATAACGGATATGCTGTTTTCTTTGTTGGCATAACATTTGGCATTTGATAAACTTGTCTTGGCAGACATTTTATATGCTTAGATATGGCTTTCTTTTTATGATCCATCTGTTCTTAAAGAAAGTACACTGCACTCGAGAAACGTAAATAATTTTTTCGGGTGTTGCAGTATTATATTGAGCCAGGGACTAGAAAGCGGTTCCGTTCTTTATTATCTGTTGAGAGGTACCTAACAGAAGCAAATGAAGATGCTCCACTCAAGGCATTGATGCCTGCCAACAAGTCTAGTGTAAGTTCTTCTCCAATTACTGATCAAACAAAAGTTTATCTCCTCCATTAAACTTGACCTTGTCGAGTTTTGCTTGTGTTTCAGCTTTCGCCTGGCTCTGGCTTTCAAAAGATGAACAATTTGGGCGAGATCCTGTCCCAGAAAGTTATTTCTGGTTCTGTGAGGAGAAATCTTTCGGGCGATTATGATGCACCCTCCAATCCCAGCCCTCCAGCAAAAGTTAATTGGGTCCTCGGCGGTCCTGGCGGGAATATGTGGAACGCCTTCATGGACGACTCTAAGGTCCCGGATTCTGTAAAGCAAAAATGGTCCGAGACTTTTGTATCATCCGTCTCTGGTGAAAACGTGAGCGTGCCAAGGTTTTAAGTTATGATTGTTCATCCAAGCTCATGTAACATGATGTTTTCCCAGATCCTAACGTCTTAGAGATCTGCAGATGTATGCTATAGAGATGTGTTGTAGAATAAAGGAGCAGTTTGTACATTTCGAAGATTAAGAGAAAGACAATAGCACATTTTCTACTGAGTATTACGACATTGAAACGACAATGCCTAAACAATAAAACAATTTGGATCGTATCCTCAGAAACATACTCCGGAAAACCCGGCTTCAGCTCTATAATTTTCAGTATGAAACCATGTCACGAAAACAACTTTAAAACTGAAGGCTGCAACAGTCTTTGATACCTAACACTCATCGGAAAACAGAAGCTTTTCTCTCAGATGAACGCCGTTTATGTCAACAGTTCCACAAATCTGTTGGCGGTATTCTGAGTCATGTTTGTGAGACTGAGGCATATCGTCCTGAACCCCGTCTTCCATATCTATAACAATGTTGTGAAGCAAGCAGCAAACAAGAATGATCCTTGGCAATCTATGTTTGTCAGGTCTCCACATCACTCCTTGAATGATCCTCCACCTATCCTTCAACCTCACCAATGCTCTTTGCGCTACCTTCTGTGTAGCATAATGCCGCTTATTGAACTGAGCTTTCGGCTCTGGGAGTTCTTTCCCTTCATAGGGGATTACGAGATAGGGCAGTAAAGGAAATCCCAAGTCCCCGATTATGTATTCCCGGATATCCAATCCTGTGGAGAGTTCTAACCTTTTCCCATTCAACCTCTCACCTCTCTCACAGAGTTGATAAAAGTTTGAACTCTGAAACACCGACCAGTCCTTCATTTTTCCTGGCCATCCGGTGACTATGTCCCGAAACCTCATGTCAGGATCAACAATGGCTTGCAAGACCATGCTGTGATTCTTCTCTTGGTCGAGCCAGGCATTACTTGTGGGGTCTGAAGCAGGCAAACACATCATGATGTGGGTGGTATCAACGACACCGCAACAATTAGGAAAGCCTCGTATTTTCTGAAACTTGGATTTAACTTCTGTCATTTCTGCTTCAGTGGAAGGCCATTGCAGGTGGTGAAGTCCTCTTTCTTCCATAGCTTCAACAAAACGCCAGGTAACTTGAGACACAGTTGAGTGGTTCACCCCAAACGAATCACCAATTGTCACCAATGACTCACCAGAGCTCAATCTTCTTAAGGCTACAGCTACTTGATCGTGCAAAGACAAGGGTTTACCGCTTGTAAACACAAAATGTGCTGACTTAGCCATCATATCTTCACTCACCAGCGAACAGATGTAGTCAAAGGTTTTCCTGGAAAGCTTAAAAACTGATTCAAACTTGTCTAATACCTTGGACGGAAACTGCACACCTGCAAATAGGATGGGAAAGAAAAAAGGAATTTTACTATTCCGAACATGAAGTATTTAAATGCGACTTTAAATGCTTTTGTGGGAGTTTTAGAACATCAGAAGTAACAATGATCTCAAACATCAAGATCAAACTATTCAAGCATAAATTTTGATCCATCCTGTATGGCACAAGCACAAAATTGAATGGGAACTACGGAGCCAGTACAATCAAAACATGAAATTAATTGCATCGGTGAATTTGCTCAAAATTAGTCAACAGGACTCTGTATTACATGATATGATCGTTCAACTGTATCAAAACATGAAATTATTTTGCCCACATTTCACACCAACAATTTTATCATTCAGAATAACAATCCAATTGATCATGTTCTCAGAAGAAGACTCATAAGTTCGATCACTACTCGACCATAATTTCTTGGGGAACTGGTGAAGTCAATACAGATACAACCCAGCTCTCTACCTACCACAAGCCACAAGGGCAATTACGTAGTACAAACCACACTTCTGATGAATTACGTTCAATCTCAAATATGAGAAAAGGTAAGGATAGTGTCTTCGAGATCGGAATGAGGTTAGTGACATATGAGATTTATCAAGTTGAAGGATGTACGCTATAGGAAACTACAGATACATACATACATACATATATATATATATATTATATTGGATAATTGCTTCAAGTTTTGGTATTCCTGCCGCTATGCAATTGCAAAATCAATCTGCAGCCCCTCCAAATTAACCAACAGTTTCTGAGGTGATGTCAGAAGGAACACACAAATGATTTTGTAATATACCAAAATTAACAAAACAGTTGTTTCACGGTACCCAACTTCGAATTATTCTCTTGTGAATTTCACTAAAATTCCTGCCCCGGAACTGCATATCAAATCAAACCAGACCTAAAAGTACTAATTTTTTCTTTTAAGTTCCTTATACCACTAGGGCTGTAATCATTTTGTACCCAAGTCTCTTTACTACCAGCTCAATGCTTATCCACATCTGTAATGTTCAAACTATGACATCTGCATTTCCAAACTTAAAATATTTTGGATTACATGCGTGTTTTTCTTCGAGCAATGCTATATTGCTATTGTTCAATCATTATCAGTAAAGAACAAATGTAAAAAATATAGCTAGAATTCACAGAAATAAACTTCATCGTAAAATTCAACTGCTATTTCAAAGGTGTTGAATACTTTTTGAGTTCTTGATTGTAGAAGGACCTAGATAACCTTATCCTAGACTTGATAGAATTAATCTTATCCTTCTCGATATTCAACAAGGCAATGAAACCAGAATGTTAGGTCAAAGTCAGATTAGGGATCTTTCTTCATAGTAAATAAAAGCATTCGCAATATATCGATGCAGAAGTTGAACAAACACAAACCCAGTTAGAATCAGGCACAATTCAATTAACCAGAAGTCAATTAAACATGAAAAGCACATACATAATCAACATAAGATAACTGTTAAAAAAAGCTGAGTATAAGACAGCTTACCAGAAGTCCATTAAACATTAAAAGCACATACATAAAGCAAAAAAAGCTATCAAAATATCAAAGAAAATAATACCATTGATTCTCCTGGAGAATTCATCCCACCAATCCACAGGACCTTCCTTCTCTGATGACCCGGAACCAGAAGCATTCTCCTCACCCTTGTTGTCAGCCTTCTTTCTCTTCTTAATCCCCCTCACAGGACCCATCAGCGCACAGCCCACAACAACTAAATCGAATCAAAACCCAGAAACCCTCCAGCTCCAAACGACAGGACCAACGCAAACCCTGATACAGTTAATAAAAGAATCAAAAACCGATTTGCAATGATACAATATATGTGCCGAATAACAAGCAGAGAGGGCAAGAGAGATCAACAGACAATGAGCAAAAGCAGCAACATGCAAAAGTGCTTTTGAATAGCTGTTGCTACTCGCAGTGTGTGTTTTCAACGGATGTCATGAAACGTGCAGGAAAAATAGAGAGCTTTGATGAAATAAACAGAAGAAGCTACAGGTGATGGAAAAATCCAAACTTTGACATGTGGGGTTTGTGTTTGTTCAAGACAATGTGGCAAGACAAGTGAGAAACATGGACATTGCTGCGTTGGCTACAGATTATATATCTACATATATATATACTCACAGTATAAATACACAGTTTAGATGGAGAGAGAGAGAGAGAGGGTGTACTTTACAGAGGTTTTGTGCTTAAATTGCTTGGAGACTGCCTTCAAATTTTGACAAACGATAGGAAACCAGAAAGCAAATTTTCTCATGGGTTCAGATTTATAGTGTCGGATGAACAAATTGAGGGTCAAGTTACAACGTGGAATGACCAATATGCCATGAACTCCTAGTCGTGGCCAAATTCCTAGATTTGGTAAAAGGAGTGTAAATTCTTTTAACATGGAAAGGTGGATATTTTATACCCTCCACCACTACCCTTTTCCTTCTTTCACCCTTTTCATAACAAGACGCATAACTGCTTACGGTGAGAATACAAGTTCTTAGTTTCGACTTTTGTGGATCATAAGTTTGTAATCAAATTACTATAGATAGTTCATTATGTGGTATAGTCTAAATTCTCTTTCCATGTGTATTAAAAAATTTAAAAAAAAAAACTACACAACGAAATTATTTTCATTTAGTGAAAATATTTTTTCGACGGCGAGCTTGGTACAATAGAAAGATTGTTCTTTTGTGATTGAAAAGTCCCGGTTCGAATCGTGAAAACAACTTCTTTGCAAAGCAAGAGTAAGATTGCTTACAGTAAACCTTCTCCCCCCCCCTCCCCAACGATCCTGACAAAGCAGAGAACCTTGTTGGCTTAATGTCGCCCTTTTTAGTAAAAATATTTTTTCAACGTACATGAAAGAATGGAAATTTGGTTTAAGTCAATAAATATTTTTATACAAGCACAATCCAATGAAAATAATTCTCGTCTTCAACTAAAGTTTTATAAAAGCAATTTTCTTCTCCAACTAAGGTCAATACTACTTGCTAGAATTTCGTAGATCTCCTTAAAACCACAAAGTGTTGATTTACCCAATTTTAATATTGAAAATATTCTGACCTCGAACAAATTACGAGTCTTTTTAATCTTGCGTAGTACCAATAGTATGGCTAGCCGACTCCAATAATAATAAGTTTTATAATAATCTTTTATTGACCCATTATGTAATTTAGCCCAAATCTGAACCTCACATCTTTTATTGTGGTATCATAGAATATCTATTTAGCTTTCGTATTATTTGTTGACTATATTTTTTTCCTTCTATCTGTCACTCGTGCAATACTTCGTCCTTTGAACTCTACAATTTACATCAAAGGGACGGAAATTTTAAAAATACATACACTTATTGCATGCTATCACCAATGGAAACCAATGTAGCCATTAAGATATGTCTAGTGTTTGAAATTTCTTCGAAACGGTCGATATTTCAATTGAAATATTGGAAAAACTAGAGAAGGATAGGGAAAATATTTCACTCCTACTAGAGAAACTCTTGAATTTCAACTAAACTCGACATATTTGGTTAATATTTTCGACATAGCTATTCAATATTGACAAACTACCATATGACGCTACATAAAGTTTCATTTTAATTTTTTCACATTTTTGATCAAATTTTCATTATTCTCGTCGAAGGCAACAGCTATTGAGATCGGTATATCCAGCGATATTTTTACAAATTTACATATCGATATTTCCGCTGATACTGATAACATTAGGGGCATTCAACTGCTGAAGAATAATGAGAGGATAAATCAGCTAAAAACCGTAAACAAGCCTAACTCTTTCTTTCTCCTCTTTCTCACCTTCTCTCTCATTCTTTGTTTTGCCATTTCCCAGCATATCGATATTTCCGCTGATACTGATAACATTAGGGGCGTTCAACTGCTAAAGATTAATGAGAGGATAAATCAGCTAAAAACCGTAAACAAGCCTAACTCTTTCTTTCTCCTCTTTCTCACCTTCTCTCTCCTTCTTTGCTTTGCCATTTCCCAGCAAGCGTGTATTCGTCTGCGAGCACAGTGATAGTAGATGTGGCGGTTGTGATTGTAGTGGTGGCAGTGTGGCGGTTGTGGTTGTGGTGCTGACGGCCGTAGTGGTGACAACTATGATGATGCTAACCGCAATGACAGTGATGGTAATGGTGTTCAGGAAGCTTATATGAAGGGATGTTTCTCTAATTCGTTACGTTTTTAAGCCAATTTTTTTTGTCATTTTGCAGTCCTAAGTTTTTTTTTTCCATGGATCTCTTCGTGGGAGGAGCATAGAATAATTTTTTAGAGGTACTAATAATAACATCCTTAGTTCATCTCTAAATGGAGATGCAAAATGCCTTGAAATGGGCGTTTTACATTTTTTGTTAGCTGGAAAACTCTTTAGTGTAAAACACTCATCTTGGCCGGAAGATGTGAACAAAAATGCAAATTTATAATTTTTTTATTATTTACATTAGTCTTCATGTACTCACTCACGCGCATGCAAAAAACATTTTTTGAATCATAGCGTGCTATGCATGACTTACACGTTTCAAATGTATTTATATGCGTGAATTGACAAAAGGAAAATCAAATATGTGAAGTAAATGAATAATCTTAGATCATGCTAGAAAAAACTCCTCACAAACAAATCAAAGTAGCTGAATTCACATAATAAAATTAGTCTTTCAATTTCCATCTACATTCTATTGAACATACATTAAGAATAGAGAAAATAATATTTAATAAACAACTGATTGAATCACATTATTGCTAGCTCATTATGAGGCTAAGTCCATCCCTCTCCCTTAGTATAGATAATATTGTTTGTTAAAAAATAAAAATAAAACAATCATTTGATAACTAATTTAATTACATTATTATGCGTATGCGAAAGACCTTTTTTATAACTGACATTACACGCCTCTTAAGATGTTTTGAACATGTTTAAAAATAGAGAAAATAATATTTAATAAACAATTGATTGAATCACATTATTGCTAACTATTGTGAGGTAATAATTTTAAAAAAAATGTACAAAAAGAATTAATTATTAAAAAAAAACACTGTTAAAATGATGAAAATACCTATGTATTATTTGATGCATTAGTTTGGATTGCTTTTTAAAAAAAAAATTGTTTTAGGGGTATTTTTGTCCAAAATGTTTTGGTGAAATTGGTGACCACAAAAGAGGTTGTTGACTTTATATATAAAGTTTTTTTTGGCGTAGACTTTGTCATTCAAAAAAAGAAAATAAATAAGATCCTAAATTTACATATCTCGTATTAAAATAGCACTGAAATATACATTTATCGAAAATGTAAAATGAGATGTAAATATGATTTTTACATCTCAAATTTGCGTCCTCCATTGAAAATCCATTTTGGAAAATAACAATCACAACAAGTAACTTAGCTTACCAATGCACCAGGGGCAACTTATCAAAAAAGCAAATATATAAATTCGGTATGCAATGACATTCCTCTTCACTCGTTTTCGACATTTTTTCGCAACGAACTCGCAATTAATTTATTTTTCTACCCCGTTTGTGTAAATATATATAATACTACAAAAATAGTAAGCAAGCTAAGTTCTTTTGTATTTTGGTTTTTGTTTTGTTTTCGTCGGAACTGATGCAATTGTCTTTGTTCATAAGGATGGAAGGAGGAAGCAGCTTGTAAGCCTAACCTCGTCATTCAATTCCATCCTCCAAGAATAATATTTCGATAACACAGTAAATGGGTAATTGGTCATATTCTTAGTGATTAACCGAGCGATGCTTTGGAGGATGCTGGCGAGTGGTGACGACAATGGCTTCTTCTTCTTTGAAGGTTGGTTATGGCATCGCCAGCAGACTGAGAGTGAGAGGTATTCGGCCTATGTCTTGTCTTCTTCTTCAGTACTCTACTCTTTTTCTGTTCCCCAACAGTTACTTGGCTCCGTTTCACTCTCGACCTTGTTATCCAACCAAATCTACAAACACCCATTTGCAGCGGCCTGCCAAAGTCACTAATCTTGAGGATGCACTCCATGTGTTCGACGAATTGCTTCATATGCGTCCTCTGCCTTCCGTTGTCCGTTTCAATCAAATCATGGGTCAAGTCGCCAAGCTGAAACGTTATTCGGCAGTAGTCTCCTTCAATAACCGAATGGGTCTGTCGGGAATTCGTCCTGATGTTTATACTCTAAACATTATCATTAATTGTTTTTTTCATCTTAACCAAATGGGGTTTGGTTTGTCTGTCTTGGGAAAATTCTTCAAACTTGGTTTTGAACCTGATGTCACGACCTTCAACACTCTAATCAACGGATTCCTTCTTCAGAATAGAGAGGCTGATGCTGTCGGTGTTCTGAATAAAATGATGGAGAGTGGTACTTGTAAGCCCAATGTGGTTACTTTCGGCACACTAGTAAAGGGCCTTTGCTTGAAAGGTAACAACACTGGAGCTATCCAATTGCTTAAGAAGATGGAAGAAGCAGGTTGCAAGCCTGACATAGTTGTCTATAGCACGATCATCGACAGTCTTTGTAAGGACACTATGCTTGTTGATGCGATGAACCTTTTCTCTGAAATGATGAGTAAATGCATTGACCCCAACATCATTACCTATACTTCTTTGATTCATGGAGTATGCAAATTATGGGGGTCAAAAGAAGCTACGAGATTGTTTAATGAAATGGTGAGCAAAGGTATATTTCCAAATCTGCACACCTTCAATGTCTTGGTAGACACCCATTGTAAAGAGGGCTTGGTCGGGGAAGCAAAAAGCATTGTCGAAATGATGACTCAAAGAGGTATTGAGCCTGACACAGTTACTTATAATTCGCTCATGGATGGTTATTGCTTGCGAGGGGAAATGGACAAGGCAAAAAAGGTTTTGGAACTAATGCTTCGCAAGGGATCCATTGTTGATGCTTATAGTTACAACATATTGATAAATGGCTATTGTAAGCATAGAAGGATCGATGACGCACTGATGCTTTTTGAGGAAATGTCTAGTAGCAGACTTGTTCTGAATGTCGTTACTTATAGCACTCTCATGGACGGTTTTTGCAAAGTAGGGAGAATACAGGATGCACAAAAGTTGTTCACTCAGATGCAAGCTTGTGGGCATCTTCCAGATGTTCCCACTTGTAATATTTTACTGGATGGCCTTTGTAAAAACCAAGAACTCCCAATGGCATTGAAACTTTTTCGAGAGATGGTAGATAAAAAGTTGGATCCAAATATTTGGACTTACAATATTCTCATCCAAGGTTTATGCATAGCTGGAAAAGTTGAATATGCAAGGGATCTCTTCCGCAGTTTATCGTCAAGAGGTCTTCAACCTGATACCAGGACGTATAACATAATGATTGGTGGCTTTTGTAATGGAGGGCTAACAAGCGAAGCGAAAAAGTTACTTAAAGAAATGGAAGAGAAAGGCTGTTCTCCAGATGATTGTACCTATAACTTAATCATCCGAGGTTTTTTCAATAACAATGAGCCATCAGAAGCAATGGGACTTATTCAACAAATAGTGGGAAAGGGTTTTGCTGCAGACGCTTCAACTGCGGAATTGATATTTGATATGCTGTCTAAAGATAAAATAGATCCTGCTTTGTTGCCATTGATAGAAAGATCGTAATGAAATTAATTTCTATCTTGGAAAGTTGAAACAGATCCTTCTAATGATCACAGTTAATTTTGAAACTGTTGCACATTCAATTCCTTAAATGCATTATATATGTTATTAGTTTAATCCATTATTTGATAGAGAAATTTGTATTTTACTATTATGAGATTGTGAAATATGTTTGAGGAGCATGGTATTTGGATTGATATGGTCAGATTAAGTGCAATACTGCAACCCGTAAACATTTATATGCTATATTATATAATTTGTATTTGAGTTGAGTCTTGAATGTTGAAGGCGACTTGCCAAATAAAATTATTGAGGTACTGTTCTTCAAGTCACTCTGTGGATGCCAAGGATGCTGATCTGGGAATAAATGTTGGTGTGTGACCTTCTCTTGGATAAATTTTTTCAGGTTATTCCATGATCTCAGCTTCATCGTCTATAGTCTCTCTTCTAATTATATGCATACGTTGTAGCTGAAGAAAATGACCGACCCCCTGCTTCCTTTATTACACTCACGTTAGTGCAGGTGCATAGCGAGAATAAGACTGGTTTTACATTCAAACATGTTCTGAATAGTTTGTTTCTCATCTTGACGGAAGAGAGCAAGGGTATCGCTAGTTTTCTCAATACCAACTGCTTTGCCGGGGATGAAATTCAGCAAATAATGTTGCCAGAAGATGTCTTGTCTTGGACGCTTATGTGAAGGTACATGTTTTGTGTGTTTAATAATATTGTTAACATAGTATGTTGATCCCTTTGCACGAAGTGAAACATGAGTAGCTTTGAGCTCATGAGACACATAACATGTATGGTTATGTCAGCATGATATTTTGCGGGAGCATCCATTTCCATGTTCACGTGGAAATAGAGACTCAGAAAGTTATAATGATTTGACTCTGATATATGATAATGAAGTCCAGGATATGGAAGATCATATTGTTTGTAGATGAAAATGGAGAACATGCGGATCGATTTGAATTTTGGTTACTTGCAGTCCCCAGCCATGAAGCATGAAATATCTGATTTGCAAAATGGCGAAAATGAGCACTTCATCCAAGTATGAGGATGTCGCTTATTTTCTCACTGCCATCTACGTATTCAGACCATTTCATCTTACCTTAAAGTTATACAGCCGACATCAGGGCTAATACTACACTAGTATATTCAAGTATATGCATATATTAAATCTCATGCCAGGTGGTACTATTATTTTTTTGTTAACTTTCAGAGAAATCACTTGTCGAGTGTGCTTTTGAGCTTCGAGCAGAGCAAGAGAATGCTGCATCAGATTGTCCAATTTATTTTGCTAAAATTGCTTTGTATTTTATTTTGCATGTTCTTCTTGGATCTCGCTCAAAACTTTGGGTTATTTATTTCTGACCATGGCTGGTTTTCTAGAGCATGAGGACAAGATTGAAGATGGAAACCGGATACTAGTCCAGAAATTCCAGTCCCAATTAACTCAGCAGCTTGAAGTCTTGCATTAAACTGTGGCACTTGCAGTGACACAACGAGAACATCAATTGAAAGATATGGAAGAGGACAGGCAGTCCTTTGTATCTATCCCTGAAGGCAGAGGTAAGATCTTGACATGAGATGATCGTCTTTGCATGCATTTCTGAGATCAAATTGTCTCTGTACAACTTGGTTATTTTTGGCTTGCTCTTCAAGGATACTAAAGAGCTGCGAGGAAGATTAGGAAAGCTTAAAAACACATATGGTTCTGGATTTGGATGGTATAGCTGGGGAGCATGAAAGACATCACTAAAGCTAAAAACTAATTGATTATAAGCAAAGTTAGATTTCAAAATACTTATTTATTAGCTTGTGCTTCGCGGATTCCTTAAGGTTTTTAGCAGTCGCTATTTATCTTTCTTAGAAATTAAGGTCATAACATTGAGATTCATCACTGCTATTGACCTAAAGCTAAATGGTTATCCAAACTTTTATTGTTTTGTAAATCTTGGACTCCTCTTTAATGAAAATATAAAAAATAAATAAATGAGTTTGCGATGACTTTTTGGAGTGCCAATAATAAATTACAAAGAATAATCCTGATATTAAAAATGTTAGGGGTTGTTTGATAGCCATTTCATTTTTAGATTTCACTGCAATCTTGTTTGGTAACTACTTCAAGTTTAAAAAAAAATTGAAAACTAAAAATGAAATGATTACCAAACAAGATTTTTATTTTCGGATTTTTAAAATAGTGAAAATAAAAATTAGAAACTATAAAAAGGAAATGTTTATCAAACAAGTCTTTAAAGAGCCATATATTTCATGTGAGCAACTAAGTAGATATACTCATTTTGTTTGTGAAGAAATGTTCTCCCAGTTAATTATCCAATAATTGCATGATCACTCATCCTTAGATTTAATATCAAGAATTGAAACTTGACCATTAGGAACACATTTATCTATTCTCCACCCTTGATGTCAAATCAAAAGTTGGTGACCAAAAATAATTAGTCACTTGGTCACCAACTGACCATCAAACGAGACTATGAATTTGAGATACTATATTAACGAGGTTACAAAATTTGGACAGAGAGATGGTCATATCATTGATTTGATTATACGCAAACATGTATGTTTCTCTTTTCACGTAGTAAACACATAATTGTACACAACCGCTGATATCCATCAATTGGAAATTGTGATGTTAACTCTAATAATGCCATATATAGAAGCACCTCTATTTTTCTGCATCATTCCCTCCACCCAAACCCTCATTTGTCTGCTAAATAAAGTACCACAAGCAAATGCCCCCCATCTCTAACTTTCTTGGAGGAGGAACCATAAACCATTTACCTCTCCAATCTCCAATACAGAGCTCACGTGGGTGCTAAAAAACGATGCGTTTTGAATACCTAGGACATAATTCTTTCTATTTCCCATGTCCCAACGTCAAAAACTCAAAATAAAGGCATAGACTTTAGCAAACATTGACCGAAATTTAGGAACAAAACTCATTCCCCTACAAACACCAAGACGCAGCTCCAACTCTTCTTGCTTTTGTAAGATTCCCACGCCCCATGCTTTGTTTCCTCGTCGAAGCTTGCGCCCATTGTGCCGTGAAATGCAATGTGCTACCTAAAACGCCGCCCGCCGCGTATTTTGCCTATGCTTCTCATTATCATTCCTTCCGCTATTTTTCGAATTTTAGGGTCTCAATGTTGTCCAATGTACTTTACAACGCCCGGTTGTAAAGTTCAGTTGTTCATGTCTGCGTAACTGATTTCTGATTGTTAATGAAATGTGAGCCTGATATGTATGGGTGGCTGACTGTAGCACAATTTAGTAGCTTATTGACGAACTTCGAGTCGTTTGCTCCCTCCTACATGGCTATTTCTACTAGTACTACTACCACCATCACTACTAGAGGCGAGGTGGTCGATCTCTTTCTTGGTGAGTATCCCTTTGGGTCTCCTGGGAATGCATTTTCCTCTCACTCCATCTTTCTCTGTTTCCTCCAACTGCAACTGCGCACTCCTGCAAATCCATGCATGTTTTAAATCAATTAATCAATAAATTTGCCAAGAAACATCTTCTAATCAATAAGATTAAGGAAAGAAGTCAACTGTGCACCCTCACATTAAACAAATTCTAATTTGACTCTCTAGTAGGTATGAAAGGAGAAGGTCTTGGGTGCGGCCATCGTTGGTGGGTCTCTTCATTTTGTTGTGTGCGGCCCTATGGCCACCTGGTCCAGTCTTCGGACCAAAGAATTTCTCGTACAAAAGAGATGTTCACGTGCAAAACACAGAAGTTCTGAAAGAAGTGTGGTTTCATACCCTATAACAATACTTGAAGAATTCACGGATTCGGAATCCATTTTTGTCTGCTTTGAACATTTACTGAATTATATACTAAAACTGAAATTGTAATCTGCTAAGATCAACCGCGCGGGCCCACATATTTCTAGACAACAAGCTTAAATAAGGACACAAAAATGAGAATAACTTGTATAGTACAGGTTCATCGTCACGATGATGTCCTATGTCAATAACGTAAAAATATAAAAAAATAACATATTCTTGTATTATTGACACGGGACGTCATATACTGGGGTACCTAGTCCATACAAGTCTTCCTCCCCAAAAAACCTACTATTTTTTTTAGCATATCCCGTGAACCGGAGTTGAATGTTCGGCCAAGAGTTCATTAACCAAGTATCTAACGGCTAAAAATTCAGCATATACTATGCTTTGTTGCAAAACTACAAAAACCCTAAAAATTAAAGATAGCATTCTACAGAAAAGTGAGTAAGGCAGGAAGCTGGCTATGTTTCAAATTAGCCGTACGAATATTTCATTCGAAAAACGAAAGCAAACCAAACGGGCTATCAGAGAATCAAAAAGTTTCAGACTAGGATCCCCAGAAAGGCAGGGGAAGAGGATAATCCAACATTTTCAAGGTGAAACTTCAAATCAACATTTGTACTACATTACCTATTACAGCAGATGCTTCTAAGTTAAAATGCGTGCCTACTTTTACCAAAACCTACATATGTGACTAAAATGAAATTAAAAGAACGAATAGGACTTAATTAAAACCTTCACATTCGACTCGAATCCTATGCTAATCGGATCTGAATCGACAAGTCAGATCCAAATAAGATTTGAATCCGTTAATCCGATTATAAGTAGATTCGAATCCAAACTGATTTGATCCGAATACGACACGTTTACCGGTCTAGTTTCAGTATAATAACAGGCATACAAGTCTACTGACTACATAATTTGCATTTAGAAAGAAAGTTGTCCATGCAATAATTTAGAAGTGACAATTATTAGTGTGTCATTATAAGTAGGTGAATCTAATTAATTACACACATACCAAACCGAAATTTTGAAATTCTATCATTTGGCAAAAAAAGTTACTGTACCACCCTAAACACTAAAAATGCTTCCATAATGATGACATATGTTCCAGAAATACGGCACTGAGTAACTACGAATATATTTAGAGTGCTAATAACTATTCCGCTACCTCAAATGGACTAGATTTTTCAATGTTCCAGACTTAATTTCGAGCATCAATTCATCGTATAAGTGGTTTGAAATTTTTTTTCGAGCAACCAACCACTATAATGACACTTGTTTACGGGACTGTATTCCCAGCGCATTGAAAAATTTCTCTACAAAAGGAATCGGAATAAACCAAGCACACAAAATTAAATGAACAAAGCATACGTACCGATCTGCATTGTAAGAAGACGACCTCTTCAAAGACGGAGCCGCCTCTTTGTTGGTCTCAATTAAGCTCCCGCTAAAATACTCCTTATCTTCCATCTTTACCCCCGCTAGTTTCGAAATTACCGTCTCGGTCCCAGCATGATTTTCGGCAACGCCACGACTCAGCCTAGGCTTGTAATGCCCAACCAGCGAGAGCCCCTGCTCCCTCACCGCCGTGGACCCGCAGTCTCTGAACGAGGTCGAGCCGCACGAGATCAACTGCATCAGGACCGTCGACGCTTTTAACTTGCCAGCTGGACAGACCTCAGCCGTCCGGTTCACAGGCTCCTTGCTCACCCCGTTCGCGCAGAGCACCAGCCGTCCGTCCGCTTTCATTAGTGACTCGAGAGTTTCGGGGCTCGAATCCGACGGCGGAGGCGAAATCTCATCCCGGCCCAGCTCCGTACCGTGGCTCTGAATCTGAATCACCTCCCGTTGGCTTTGACCTTGGCCTTTTTCGTCGTGCTCCTCTCGAAAGCGTCGTTGGTGCCGTTTGTCGTCGGTCTGAGTCGACGCGTCGGCGGCGGCTTTACCGGTGGACTCGCCGACCGACTCGGTCTTGTACACTTTGTACTCGTTCAAGTCGATCGAGCTCCACGATTGGTTTCGCCGGCGCGAAATCACAGGAGAGTCGAAATCGTCGCCGGACTTCAGCGCCTCCGGCGGCGGTCTCAGGGACCTCGACGACGCTGTCTCGAGAGCCAGGTGGTTCAGCGGCGGGTCAAGAAGCTCCGACCCCTTGAGCACGTACTCGTGGCCGTGCGACGGGTATATCAAGTCGTTCTCCGTCAAATCGTGCCAAACGAAGCCGGTTCTGTAGCTCCTGCAATTTCAATTCCAATGAAGTCAGTAGATCAGATGGTTGAAAAAATCAGTAATTAGATCAGACGGTTTGAGAAGCTCGCTTGTACCGTTTAGAAGACCAGGAGTACATCAAAGCCATGCCTTTGCCACGTAGCAAGTTTAACCGGTTGATAACATCTGAGGAAAGAAACGCACAAACTAAATTCATCTGATTTGGGCCTGTTTGGTTGCCGAGAAAGTGGAGAGAAAATAAATTCTTACCTCTGAGAAAGAGGCCACGGGGAGAGGAGAGAGGGACTTCCATGAAGTGAGGGTGCTCGAGCTGGCCGTTCATGGAGAGGTAGTAAACGACAGGGACTTTTCTGGGAGTGAAAGGGAGATTGGGACCCGTCTGGGCAGGACTAATCCGGTCGGGGCTGGTTTCCGAGTCCCGCCATTTACTGGGGATTTGGAGGTGGGAGGGTCTGCCGCTGGAAGTGACAGCCATGGCTGATGGCTCAGTAGAAACAAAGAGTTTAGAGTCAGAGAAGAGCTGTTTGGTTACCGAGAAAATTGTGTGGGGTGGGGGGAGAAAAAGTGCGGGAAAATGGCAGGTGGGAGAAAATTTAGGAGAGGAAGGGAATGGGAGGGAAGAATTTTTATATACCGAGGAATTGGGGGGGGTGTAAATAAGGAAATTGAAGATTATGGAGGTACATATTTTTCACAATGGGGATGCGGCAGACAAACGCTACCAAACAAATGAGGGCCGTTTCAGACTTCAGAGCCATGGCAACATAAATCCGGATCCTCGCGGAATCCTCATCAAAAGAATTCGGAGAGAAATTCTTATTTTTTAGATTTTTTACAAACAAATCATATTATAGCTAGTTTATTACGAGATTTAGCTCATACCCTCTCTCACTAAGATAATATCGTTTTTAATTTAATTTATTCACAAACAAAAAAATTTCCTTATAAATTTTTCGATCCAAAGGGTAATAATATCAATGATATTAAATTATTAATCACCTCAAGCCTTAATTTGTGCTTAGATATCTTGAATGATCAATCATATAAGGTTTTTTAGCCAAAATGGTCTATGAGATTTCAATAACACATCACTTTGGTCTCTAAGATTGAAAATTAATAGAAATGGTCATGAGATTGTCTATGATCCATTATTTTGGTCCTTATGTTAAAAACTCCGTTAAGTGTTCCGGATCTCTTGGCTGAAAATTTAGGCAATTTACAAAACTTCGTAACTCAATCGTTTTTTAACCAAATTCAACCCATAATATATCAAAATGAAGACAGGAAAGTGTAGAATAAGATTATACCTATTTGGAAGCTCAATGGTTGCCGGAGATGGCTGAAAAATAGCCCTAAAGGTGACTAGTCCGCGAGAAAACTGGAAAACTTGTCGGAAACTAGGTAAACTTTAAACGTTTATAACTTCTTTAATATTCAACGAAATCGAGTGATTCAAAAATGAAAATCATACTTCTCAACAAGGCGAATAGAATGGTATCTTTCTCAATGGCTAACTCGCCGTGGTTTGGCCCGAAAACGGCTCGAAAGTGGCTATTTTGGTCTCGAGTTAACCACTTTGAGCCTTTTTCCTGCCAATCTACGGCGAATTAGCCATCGAGAAAGATATCATTCTCTCCGTCTCGACGAGAAGTATGATTTTTGTCTTTTAATCATCATAAATTTTTTATTTTCATCACATTGTCAAAGTTCGAGGACTAAAATTAGTACCTCATATCACGTTGCTTTACAAACTATTCACTCACTGAGTGTATCATCTAATCATCATAAAATTGAAAATCCTAATAATTTCAAGGATCAAGGACCAATGATGGACCAACTTTATGCAACTGATGCAATCCCCGAAGAAATTTTTCTTGAATAAAAATCTATTGCAATTAGATATTTAATTTCTTTTTTCTTAAAAATGAACCAGCTGATGATTTCGTCATGATAATGTGATTCATCAACCTTAAAAATCAAACTTAAAACGTACTGTATAGAATACAAACTTGAAATTCGTCTTCAGTTAATGAGTCATTCATTACTAAACAAAAAACTTTCTCACAAAATTCAAACCCACTAGATCGGTTGACTTGTTTGTTTTATTGTCGTTTATTGCTTTGGTCTTGTACCACCTAACTTTGACTACAAACCGTAACTGCATTTTCAACGCCCTTTCCGCAAGTTTGAAAACCATCTAGAAAAGAAGTGGACCCAATGCTGACGTGGCCTCATCTCCTTAACCCAATTCGTTGACAAACATTTCCAATTTCAAAATAATTTCTTAAATCCCATCACATCACATAAGGTGCCACATACCCATAAATCATGGGAGCGTTGATAGATTGGACAGCTCTGATTTGAGTTTTCAGGGCACGTGGACGTACCAGATCAAAAGAGACTACATCAGAAATCGTACAGACGATCTGGGAGATATGCAGTGAAATCTTTAGATGGGCTGTTCTGTCATCCTCCTTCCCTTGGTCTTCTCAGGTACGTAGACGTCGTCGTACTGGTGTACGTTTGAATAGGGCTGGGCACGGGCCAGCCCAAATTTGGAGGAATCGGCTCCTACCCGTTTTAAAATGTAATGGGTCAGGTTGGGCTGGGTAGAGAGCTTTAGGCCATCTCCAACCGAGGGCTGACCAGAGGGCTCGTTTGAGCCATCTGGCCCTCCAATATTCCCCAAGATATTAATATTTTAATGAACAGTACAGGGCCATATTTGCCTCCATCTCCAACCGAGGGCCAGAGGGCCAAAGGGCTCGTTTTAGCCCTGTCACAAAAAACCGTCTCCAACCGAGGGCCAAAGGGCCATAGGGCCAAACATAATTTATTATTTAAAAACTACAATTTAATGTTGTATAAATGGCCTAGGAAGTTATACGAAAAAAATAGAATTGAAAAAAAATATGAAACAAATTTTGTGAAATAGAAGTTATAGGAAAAAAAATATGAAAAAAAATTTGATTCATATGAAAAGGAAAAAAAAAGGGAAAAAAAGAAGTTTAAATTCATTAAAAAAAAAAAAGAAGTTTAAATTCATTAAAAAAAAAAAAAAGCCTAATAATCCAACGGCTACTAGCCGTTACATTAAAAAACATTTCAAACTATTAGTGTCGGTTATAACCGACACTAATAGTAGAACTATTTAAAAAAAAAAAAAAGCTCTTTAATGCTGTTGGTTTTAACCGACAGCAATAGGAAACATTAAAAAAAAAAATAGCCAGCCCCGGGGCTGGCTGGCTGGCCGAAAGCAACCAGCCCTCCAGCCCTCCAGCCCTCTCCGATCCCGTGGGGCCCTCCCAAATTCCAGAGCCCTCTGGCCTAGCCCTCGGTTGGAGACGGTTTTAGGGCTATTTTCGGCCCTCTGGCCCTCTGGACCCTTCGGTTGGAGATGACCTTAGAGTTTTAGAATCAAACCTAACTCGTTCCATTTCAAACGGGCCGGTTTGGGGCGAGTCCACAAATCCTATTACATTTTTTTTTCCGTCAACACAGAAGGGGATGACGTCATTCAAGTCGTCTTCCTCAGTCATCGAGCAACCGTTTCTTCAGCGATAACCCAAATCCAACTCAGACCATTCAAGTCATATTCCTTAGCCATCAGGGAGAGAGGAGAATAGGATAAAATCATAACCATAAAAAAAATTAAAAAAAAAAAAAAAACCCCAACCAACACAAAATTAGAACCATAAAAAAAACCAGAAAAGATAAGTCAAGGAGAGAGAAGAAGAGTCAAGGAGAGGGAGAGTGGCCTGCTCCATAAGAAACCCATTAGCACAACGCCAACGGACTAGTCGACGGCCATGAGAATTTATTCTAGTCCTGGATGGTGGCGATAAGGTAGTTGATCGAGTCAAGAATGCCACAGAATTGGCCGAGTCAAACCAGATTGGGTAGTCAACAGCTGAGATCTGACGATTCAACGAACTTTAGCGAAAGCTCGAGGGCGGCGCAATTGTGGTGGTCGTGACGACGGTGATGGTCTGGGCGACTTCTATGACTGCGATGTCATCAAGGAGGAGAATAATGGTGATTGTTGATGGTGGTCGCAATTAGCCAAAAAGAAGGTGATGGATGGCTGTTGTCGAGAACTCAACGCAAGCTCGGGTGTGAATGAATGGGAAAAGGGAGATTGACGAAAGTCTCTGAGATAAGGGGAAAAAACGCTACAGAGTTTTGGATTTAATTAAATCATATTAATCCAATCCATTATCCCATGCTACAAACAGGTCAAGTTGAGGCCCCGTTCTTTCTTATTTTTGGACCCGCGGTTCCAGAACCCATTTGCCCACCCTTATATTTGAAAGTAGGTAAATCGTGTGCGCTCTAGCCTCTCCGAAGACAAATTAAACTCGGGGTCCGTTTTATTTTATGGGTCAAAACTGTGGGTTTGGATAGCGATTAAAACAGGTAGTTTAAGTCCAAGTTATTAGCAAAAGAGTCTATTTGATAATAATTTCATTTTTAATGTTTAGTTTATTTTTTATTTTTTATAATTGAAAACTGAAATATTCTTTTGTAAAGATGAGAATGCAAACTCCGCCGATGTGATTCTTAAATCCCTTATTATAGAATCATGAGAAGATTTAACCTTTTCAAACACTTTCTGTAACTCAGTATAGGCTAGAGAACCAAAGAAATGTGTAACAAATCCTGAACATTAGCCATCCCAGACGTGTTGATATCAATGGTAACTCATTACTTTGATAAATCATTTATTTGGAGATTAGATGTATCATGTAGGACAGGCTCTAGTCACTCAAGTTCCGAGTCTTGCCCTGCAAAATATTTATTCAAATATTACTTGGAATCTCTTAGATGATGTGTTCCATTGCGATGCATCATATGGCAAGCCAGAAGATGAAAAACTGCAGATTGGGAGAAGAAGCAACAACTTTAGGAGAGGAGAAAATCGAAATAGTTCATATAAAAGAGCCCCTCACTAAAGAAGAAAACAATTCTTTGGGCCATACAAAGCTTCCCCATTTCCTCCTCAATTAAAGGCCCAGGTCCAACAATGTATGTTGGACTGAAGCCCAATCCATAAAAAATATCATTTTCCTCACTCCCAGTCTATCACACGGTCAGAGACTCAGATAGAGACACCATCTTTGAGAAGTGCATGCAGTTGCAAAGGCTTTGTACATGAAACAGCAGCTCTGTACCAACCAAATGATGCTCGCGCCACAATCATCTAAAAACAAATTAAAATATGCCTTCCTTTTCTTTTAAACTTCAATTAAAAGATGCATTCCTTTTCTTTTAGACTTCAATTTTTTTTTTTTTCAAAAAATTGGGATTAGTTGTGGGATTCATTTCATATTGAACTTCAACGATTCGAACTGTCTATATTGACAGTCTTGATTCGTAGATAACCTTGCAAAAATTCAATTCAATCCGAAATCATTTTCCCATATAACTGTCATGATGAAATTTCGATGTTTCTTAAAAAATGGTGTTCGTCAATTTCTTTGAACTTAATTAGATGCCTCAAATACATCTGATTGGCTAATATTTTGTAATGATGAACTATGAGGTGTAACTTACAAAATAAACAGTTCGATTCGTTGAAATTAAACGTGGTGTGAGCCACACAACTAATTCCTATTTTAATATATAAGGGCTAATCTGAGATATGTTAGGGAACAGAGAGTGAGCCTAGTTGATAATAATGTGGAAATGGTTGGGCCTCCTTACCAAGCCCAGG